TCACTCGTTCCCACGTAAAGGAAGGAGTGTACCGACAATCTGAGAGCGATGGGAGGAAGTAGAAGGACCAGGCTCCTGAAAACCTTACCGTTCTGAGGGCCTTTGAAGGAAATGGAACTGCAACAAAACTGGAGCAGCCTAACGAACCCTTAGCCGTGGTAAGAAACTTAGCAAGTTCAGGATAGCTAGTGGAATTGCGCTGATAGTTCCAGTTGACTTCAGCTTCTTATTTTCATGTTAGTGAACAGATGAGCTGGCTTTCACTGGTTTTCACTGAAATCCGTAAAAAATAAGGGTGATATAATATAATTAAAGACTGTTCAGGAATTAAGTACCCTCGAAACTTTTCTGGGACTGGGAGTAAAACATTGTCCGATGAAACCGTCTCTCGTACCAGGTTTTCTGTATGGATCACGTCAGTCATTGTTGCTGGACACTGTCCAGAAGACGACAGCAAAATACTTTGGAGTAAGTAAGGTAAGTAACGAGGTATAGTAAGCAAGAGGGGCTTGGAGTTTCCGAGCTACTGCATGTCTTATCTTTCAATCAATGCTCTTTTTGTCCTCCAAATGACAAATATACACGAGTGCTTGATATGATATCAAAGTTAAAATTAAAGTGCTCACTCCATCATCTTCTGCAATTCCTTCCAAAACAACCAGTTTATGGAGCTCGGACGCTTTCTCCATGTTGAACTAACTGGTGGCTCACATCTATCGATCGCACGGAGGAAGCTCACACATTCGACGGGTGCTCTATAAAGTCTATCGAAATGGACATCAAAACAAGAGAAATTTCAGGTTTTTTAGCCTTTTAAAGGCATAGGGAAGATTTTTATTTGTAAACAAAAGAAAAATGAGATTCCAAAGAAAAGAATTTGTATGAAAATGAAATGCTTGACCAGCAATGTAACAGATGTGAACAGCTGCAAGTTATTGGAAAGAACTCGACACAGTGACACGCAGACAGATGATTAGAGGTCTACAAATCTATCCAAAGTACTGACACTGACGCTAGGTCAGCTTGAACAAACAGTGATGCTCCGACAACAACGTTCCCTCTACTAATGATCCATGGTCTGCAATTTGTCGGCAACGAGCGGATAAGAAAAATCGCCTGACGGCTCAGATTGCCAATAGATTCCCTTGTTTTGGCTTTCTTCCAAAGCAAAATCGGCCAATACTATCATGATTAGTTTGAGTTTGTCTGTACTTCTAGTTTTTATATTGGTGGAGCTGCACGTGATGACAACAGCTCCTAGGTGAGACGAACATTGAAGCTCCTCTGACCTGACCCATCCTTGTTCATTGAAGGGATCTGGAAAATTCTTACAAGGGCAGGATCCAAGTCCAAGTGGCCATTTGAAATGAAATCTATACTGCTAGACGTATTTTTTGATACTGATTTCGAATCTGCAAACAGAAACTGCCAATCGATCCTCTGAACGAAGTTATGGAGGTGGCCCCCAGAGAGCAAGCACAAAAGACATGGTCACTGGTGTGTCTGCAGAAGCGGCTTGGAGTAGAGGTAAGTGTGACACTTGACAGGCATGGGGTCAAGGATCGGGGTTGCTGGTCGCCGGCTTTTTCTTCATATAGCAGGTCTTTTTCCTCCAAGTTGCAGAAATCTTCTTGTGTTAGTTTTACCGCCTTAAGCGAATTTTTATGTGTTGGAGGTGAGACAGTGCGTAATTGAACCACCTCTACTCTAATCATCAATATGACAAAAAATCTATTCTTACATATTTCAAAATCACAGTAGGAGAAATTTTACCCATTATAAGCAGATGCACATGGATAGCAGATAATCCAGCACAAAATGTTCAAACAGAAAAGTTGTTACAGTGAGAGCAATGGAGAAAATTTCACCGCATGCTTTTTTTCACAATTATTTCCTACACCAGATGGAAACCAGAACTGTTATGTGTCACATAATCGCCTAGGTGGGTGCTCAAAAAGCCGGCAGCGTGCCATGAGTAGGGGAGGAGTTTTTTAGTGCTGCTCGCCGGCCGGACTATGAAAGCAGCCAGTAACAATGTTCCTTAAAGACGCACACCGAAGCTGCTGAACGACACTAAAGGTATGTGTAACTCTGGAATCAGCTTCCAACGGAAACCGATGTCTTCAACTACTAGAATATGTCGCAGGAATTCGGAAGTGTAAAACAGAGTGATGGAAAACATGGTGAACTATCGTTCTATAGCATTAAGTCGGAATTCGGTATCTGCTGAAAACTTCGAAACAGTCCAGCTTTTTCTGCAATTCTGTAGAAACTTCTTGCCCACTTGTGAGAGCAAAGCTCTCCCACTCTCTGTCCATTTAAAGGCACCGTTCACAAAAAAGTTAGGGTACCTTTTTTTGACGGGAGAACTACTCTAGAATAAAGCGATAACCGACTTTTCACCAACTTCGCTCCAGTGCGAATGTGGTGAAGGACAATTAGAACTCGTAGTCAGCCTAGCGAAGGGCGGAAGCCTCCCGTCCCCCACTGTTCCTGCCCTTATTGTGCCCTATCCAGCCGTTTTGCGACCTCATTCCTGCACAAATGGTATCAGAGGGGGCTTCGAATTCAAACCATGTGCAAATCTCCGAAACCACTTTTTCGTGAACAGTGCCTTTAAACTATCACTCACTATGTTACGATAAGATTTTCAAACTGTCTTTCCCTATTCAACATTAAGTAGTTCTTTACGAGGCCAACCCGACCATTCCATTGCTGAAGCCTACAGAAACTTATGCCAAATATTTTGTCTTGATCGGTTATGTGCATTCGTTGTCCCAACGTCGTAGAGTCAGAAATAAGAACGTGGTTGGTAAACTTCAATCAGGTCAAGGGATTGCGATATCATGAAATCCTTGGGCATACAGATGAGTGACGTTCACTTGAAGTATTCCCATGGAAGATCCGGACCATTTCTGAAGAAATATAGAAATGTGAGCGTTTCCGACAGATGCTTCTCGGACACCCCAATAGATGCTCTTAAACACTGCAGATAGGTAGGCAAAGTGGTATTTTCGTTTTTTTCCTCTCGGCACGTTCATGAGCCTTCTATGTTCTTTAAACTTCGAATCATCACCATGGATCTCTACAAATATGGCAAGAGGGTAGGTCACTAACCACCTACGAGAACTGCTTCTAAAACTAGCCTTTGGTTTGCCGTTATCTGATTATTTTAACGCGTTAACGCATTACTTACTGCGCTACCTCGACCCAGTTAATAGACCTTGAACTCACGCCGCAGAGCGTGCCGTCGCGATCACTTTGTTGTTATGTGGGTGGCTTACGTGTGTTCGGGAGATGACATCTTTCCGAGCGCGTGGCACACATCATCATCTTCAAAACCCAAGTGATATTCACGCCTTATCAACAGAAATTTCACGAGGGTGCAGCGTTATGAGCAAAGGAACCAGTACGGACAGGCACAAACTTACACTCATACCACTTGGATGCTCTGTCTGCTCATGACTATGCGATTTTCCACTCACCTTACCCCAACGTTTCTGCTTACTCGATATAGTTATGCAACATGCAGTAGTCAGACATGGTAGGAGGCAATACCACTTCATGAGGAAGTAAATGCGAGTTCGGTCTCGCCCGAGGCTGATTTATTGGATTTTTATGGTGCCTTAGGCTTTTTTGTAAGTTCAGAGAGAATGCTCGTCTCTCTGAAAAACGAGCAAATTACACCTGAGAACAAATTTATTGTAAAAACCAATAAAATATGTACCCTGATGGCAGGTGGTGCACAGGAAAAAGTGAGTCCTAAGCCTCTCCTAGAAGCGGAGGTGACCGCAGGTTCTGGCCTATATCCGAACAACTTCGCTGATTTTGCAAGATGTCGATTTGCCAAAACAAGAGCTCACAAAAACTTACGCTCTAGAAATCTTTCTGGACAGAGTTTGTCCTTTCCCCTTTTGCCCCTTCCCTCCAAATAACAGGTTACTCCTCTTACCAAAGAGAACAAATATCTATAAGTATTGTAAAATGGCTGCAATTTTTTGGTCATTTTAATAAATGGTGGTCGTGGCTCGCTCAATTCGTTCTCGACAAAATATGAGTTTCGAAGGATAGTTAAGGCTGCTATGACTGCTTTGGAATCTAAAGATGCAACTTAACAACCTTGCCTATAGGCACAGCCAAGGATACGACTGGTTTCTGTGGATGCTCCTTGGGATGAACTTGTGACCAGATAGCACAAAGGAGCTGTCGGAAGCAAAAACGCCCGAGATGGGGCGCAATAAAGGCCGCAAAGGCGGCGTAGCCGGCGTAAACATCAAGAGGCGGAAGTGCTTCAATTGCCTTACTGTAGAGGCTGTAGAAGTTGCTCCAATCGCATTGGGACGCACACGTTGCACTCAGGCATTTTGTTGTAGCCTGGTGTGCAGCCAGTGGCACACACATTTGGACAGTTCGTCCAAAAATCCCTTCTATGCAATTTTTTTGTCACGTTCTAGTCCAACCTCTGATTCGACTACTTTTTTGATCCTTACTTTTGCAATGTTCTAGACTATCACTTGAACTATTCCTCTCAAACTAGATACCTGAAAATTATTGTGAAGTGCGCCTCAAAGCTTTCCATGAGCAAATAAATACTAAAATAGAACGAAACCTAAAATCTTCTTCTCATTTGGGTCATTGACTGAATGTCAGCAAGATTCATGAGGGGTATATTTAGATAATAGTGTATGGCTAACCTTAGTTCAGCCAAGCGAGGTAGAAGACCTACACAGATGGGCCTCTACCCCAGCTTGACCGAGCACTGCCCCTGGGCATGTAGCGGCCTGCCGAATGGCTCTCTAGCCTCTTTCAAGTCCAGCTACAAATAGAGAAGACGGCTTCACCTCAGTGGTAAGAGGCCACAGTGTTTCATCCGTGGAAGAATGTTTCAGGTATCACTTAAGCGCGGAAGGGCCTTTGAAGTAAAGCCGCTTGGCTCAAGAGTTGAGCCTGCACTCCAAGAACAGTTACAGTAATTGCAATTTTTATTGATACAGAGAAAATCAGACACGTGACTTTGCATAACGAGGTGGGCATGGGCAGTAAGCAGCATCGCCTCCTGGACGGGCAGGATTTCCACGGTTTCCGGGTCTTCCATCGTTTCCGGGCTGTCCTCTTCCCCCAGGCTGCCCAGCTGGACCAGGTCTACCAGCGTTTCCAGGGGCACCAGCTCTTCCTGGGCCTCCTGCATTTCCGGGAGCTCCAACAGGTCCAGCAGGTCCAGGTAAGCCAGGAGTTCCTCTTCCGCTTGTACCAGGTCTTCCAGGCTCTCCAGGTCTTCCAGCGGATCCCGGGTTTCCGGGTGCTCCCTTGTCTCCAGGAGGTCCTGGGGGACCTGGACGACCATCATTTCCTGGACCGCCAGGTCTCCCTGGATTTCCGTTAGGTCCTCTGTTTCCAGGAGCTCCGCTTGGTCCAGGTGGTCCTGGAGGTCCAGCTGGGCACTGAATGCAATCTCTGCTGGGACCAGGGCAGTTGATGGGAGCGTAGGTGGTTGTAGCGTCGTTTCCAGGTCTTCCGGGTGCTCCAGGTTGTCCTGCAAATCGCAACTTTGATACTCAAATAGGTACAAGTTCTTATTTCGAGAAACTTAAACATACCAGGGGCTCCAGGTCTTCCAGGAGGTCCCGGCGGTCCTGNTGACGGTTGGCGTTGTGCACTGGCAATAAGAGGGAAGGCCTGCTTGCCTCTTGTCACGGAAGATGGAACCAAATGGATTTTCTCTTGGTTTGGATGGCGGAGAGACAGCAACTTGGTAGTTCATCATTTGGGTCCAAGCAGAGTCGGTCTCCACGCGGAATACAGAGACTGTTTCGAGAACCTCATCGTGGATCTCATTGATTGTGTTGTAGAGCGATGGCACTACAACCAGGCAGGCTGTTATGGCCAGAATAGAGAAGGCCGAAGCCACGCCGACGATGAGTTTCTCCTCGAACATCGTGCTGTTGTTCAACAGTGTCTTAGCATTTTTATACCCAAATTACCCCGCCTTCATCGGATATTATTGTTTGTTTCGCAATCAATTAATTGTTCAACCTTGCTGAATCTAGAGCATCGATAGCAAACTGAAATTGTCGAAATGCGGTCATAGTAATGACCTCGTGCTCATTTCATGGAAAATTAGTGTGTGTATTATGCCTTTTAATTGATTACCTGCCTGGGTAGTCGACGTTACCGTCTTCATCGAAGGACCTTCTTCCGGTAGTAAGGAAAAGCAAGGCAATGAAAGGCTTGAATCTGTTGTATGCTACTGCCTAGTGAAAGAAAAAAACATAACATAATATACGCTGAAGTTTTGTTTCAACATTGTGAAGGAGGTGAAAATCCGTCCGTTTACCTCATCCTTGAGGGTAGAGATCGGTCTACTTATGTAGGTATGTAGGTAGCCAGGAATAGATGAGTGTCTAAAACCTTTGTGTAATGCAAAGGAAACAAAAGAATCATTTTTTGAAGCACGTAAAGCACATTCGAATGTGCCTGAACAGCAACTGCCTGTGCCTTCTCTTGAAGAGACTACCAGTATGTCCCTGCCAGACTCACACCGAAAAAAAACCTTTAGGAGTTCGACGAAAAAACAGGGTTCGAAAGGATTTTCATATGAAGTATCTTCATTGGATAGTGATTAATCGCAATTAAACTTCCCAAGCTACTAGCTCATGCGATTCGGTCAGAGTATGGAAGAAGTACAGAAGATTTTCAGATTACTTCATGTCACCTATTTGAAGATTCCTAGAAGAGAGTCCAATGCAAGGTTCATTTCCGTCGTCCCCACGGTGGGCATCCCTTTCTACTTCTGAAAGATACCAGCAAATGAGTAGAGAAAATGAGTTACTCTCATTTCCTCCAAGTTCATCTTTACAGTTTTTACTGTCCCTCTTTTCCTACATAACACCGACGGAACAGTAATAATTTTTTAATCTCAAGATTATGTACAGATAGCGTTTGTAAGGATTGAATCATCATTTCTCTAGAAATCAGCACAATCGGAGGCCGCCAGGTAAACAATTTACAACAATTTCAGTTTTTGTCGATGCTCCAGATTTGGAAGGTCGAGTGGCTAACAATAGCCCAGCAATCGCTCAGTGTAGGTGGGGAATAGCTGGTATAAAAGGAGGAATAAACCACTAAAACACAGCACCATGTTCGAGGAGAAACTCATTGTCGGTGTGGCTTCGGCCTTTTCCATTCTGGCCATCACAGCCTGCTTGGTTGTAGTGCCATCCCTCTACAACACCATCAATGAGATCCACGATGAGGTCCTCGAAACAGTCGCAGTGTTCCGCGTGGAGACCGACTCTGCTTGGACTCAAATGATGGACTACCAAGTTGCTGTCTCTCCGCCATCCAAGCCTAGGGAAAATCCATTTGGTTCCATCTTCCGTGACAAGAGGCAAGCAGGTCTTCCCTCTTATTGCCAGTGCACAACGCCAACTGTCAACTGCCCACCGGGACCTCCAGGACCTCCTGGACGACCTGGAGCCCCTGGTATGTAGAAGTTTCTCGAAATCAGAACTTGTGCTTATTTGAATATTAACACTGCGATTTTCAGGACAACCTGGAGCACCCGGAAGGCCTGGAAACGACGCCACAACCACATACGCTCCCATCAACTGCCCCGGTCCCAGCAGAGATTGCATTCAGTGTCCAGCAGGACCTCCAGGACCACCTGGACCAAGTGGAGCTCCTGGAAACAGAGGACCAAACGGAAATCCAGGAAGACCTGGAGGTCCAGGAAATGATGGTCGTCCAGGTCCCCCAGGACCTCCTGGGGACAAGGGAGCACCTGGAAACCCGGGATCCGCTGGAAGACCTGGAGAGCCTGGAAGACCTGGCACAACTGGAAGAGGAACACCTGGCTTACCTGGACCTGCTGGACCTATTGGAGCTCCCGGAAATGCAGGAGGCCCAGGAAGAGCTGGTGCCCCTGGAAACGCTGGTAGGCCCGGTCCAGCTGGACAACCTGGAGGACGAGGACAGCCCGGAAACGATGGAAGACCCGGAAACCGTGGAAACCCTGCAGGTCCAGGAGGCGATGCCAATTACTGCCCATGTCCTCCTCGTTATGCGAAGAGTCGTGTCTAATTTTTTCTGTATCAATGAACATTGCAATCACTGTAGCTGTTTTTCAAATTTCGAGCTGATGGTGCTTCAGCAACAATCTATTTGAAACAAAGGTAATACAGAAGAACTGTCCCGATCCATAGATCCACAAACAAAATGTAAATCAATTTGCTCTTTGAGTGTAAACTCATGATTTATCATCGGAAGATTCATTTATCAATATTTTTGGCAAATGGGATCGAAAGCAGAATGCAAATTTGCAAATTAAAACGGAAATAAGTCTCGAACTTCTATCGACAGGCTTTTATGCCCTGTGCGACAGTTCAATGGTCAACGTTGATCTTCCCTCATGGCCATATGTATGGAGGTCTATGCATCGAACCCAGCCACGTGACCTTTTTTGTCAGCCTTTTTTGTCACCTTTTTTGCCACCCTACCTCATTCTCTCTTCATTTTCATTTAAATCGTTCTTTTGAGAATTCCAGAAACAGGATTCTATTCTAATCCGCTAGTTCTATTTTTCGACCTGTTGGTAGTGCCCCTTCCAAACGGTGCTTCGGTGAGGAACAGACTTTGTGCTGTACTCCTTGTACGAGCATGATCAGACCCAACTGAATCCAGTTTATGTGATCTGCTAGCTGGTTCACTTTGACCGCTTTTTTTATGCAACGGTTTCATTAAGCATCATCAGCGATTCATTTTACTTTGCTTTGTCATTTTTATGAGCTTTTCTCAAAAATTCCTAAAAAGTCTTGAGAAACATCGCATTTCGAAGGGATGAAATGAAGTGCCCATCCCGACACATTTCCATGCGTCGGTTAGCCAAACGGATATCGATCCGGGATCCAAACCCGTGACCATTCGTGTGTGACAGTACGCCACCTTTCACCAAACCACCTCCGCGTTAAATTAATAACCTTGAAATAATATTGTGTATTGAGTATCGATTGACAGACTATAACTTTGAAAATTCAACCTTCAGGGCTGTTCTGATGAAATAAGTTGATCGAACTCCCACTTCACTCCTCTTATCAGAAACCGTTAAGTTGGCAATAGTGACTGACCGTTCATGCCTACAACTTCGATTCTTTCCCAACTATTAAGTTCTACATATTAACTTGAATTATTGACTGAAGGGAAAGGTGGACCTGCAACGACATGAATCGATATCATCGATTGCAATTGTGGGTTAACTTCCTAGCACCTCAGGTGTATCGAAATTTGAACGCTTCGTGGCCAAAAAAGATAGGCATCCAGGTACGCATATCACCTCTTTCCAGCTCATCTGAAGAGAAGAGGAATCACTAATTCTGTGATAAAAAGATGGCTGAATTTCCCTCTTTCTAACAACTTTATTGAAAATCTTTAAAGGATTCCTTTGCGAAGAATCATTTGTGAAGGAAGGTTCTTTTTGAAGGTCAAAAAACCACTGATGTTTTTTTAGATGTTCCATTTGCAATGGCATATTGTGATGAATTTGGGAGCTTCTCAATACAATCTGAAATATGTACATCACCATACTAATCCTTCTGTTCCACCAAAATGATTTACAAGAGTGATGCTCAACTCTGCGGCACTTATTCGGTGGTTCATGAAACACATAGTCCTGACACGCGAATCGCTATCCGTGCAGGACCCCCAGTTATGACAGGAAGAAATGGCCGAGGCCAGCGCACTTACCAAACTTTTGCTATAGCTGCTCTTTTTCAGATTCCTTAGGTAGTGTCTGTGCATACTATTACTTTTATGATTACTACTAGCCATGATTTGTTTTTAGTTTCAGATGTTCTATACTCGTTTCAACTGTTGACCGGTCGTGATGCAGAATTTGGCCTAATATGGTGAGTTATTAGGAGCTTTGGGGAAAGGATCTATTACTTTCAGAGATCCGCCTTTTTATTGTTTCTTTTTTTCGTATTGTGAAGTATTTTAAGATTGTGGTAGACTTATGCCCCATATGCCCGACTATTGCCTTTTTTGCAAGAAATTTCTTTTGTTTCCCAGATTTACGTGGTTTATCAAAAAAGGAGTAATTTAACAATTAAGCTCACATAATTAAACTGATGCACTA